ACGAAGGCGAAGGCGAAGGCGAAGGCGAAGACAGAGGCAGAGACAGAGATAGAGACGGAGGGAGAAGGAGAAGAAGGAGAAAGGCGGGGGGTGGTGAACGTCCCACCCTACCTGGGCATATTGTACACGCCGCTGACACAAAACGACATCGCCAGGCCCCAAAACCGTAAACTACCCGCCGCCGTCCGGCAAAAAGCCCGACGCGACCTACGTCTTCCAGACGACGCCGGAAACCGCGCTGCTGTACCGCCTCAACGGCGACTACAACCCGCTGCACGCGACGCCCGAACCCGGCGTCAAGATGGGCTTCGGCGGCCCCATCATCCACGGCTTGTTTTCGTGGAACTGCACCGCCCACGGCATCCTGCAGTGTCTCGGCGGTAGCGACCCGGCGAATATCAGGGAGTTCCAGGCCCGCTTTGCGAGTCCTGTTAAGCCTGGCGATAAGCTCGTCACTGAGATGTGGAGGATGGGCGGGGCGGATAAGGATGGGTTCGAAGAGGTAAGGTTTGTCACGAGAGTTGAGGGCGGGAGGGTATGTTTAAGTAATGGGAGGGCGGTTGTTAGATGTGTGGGTAGTGCAAAGGGGAAAGTTCCGGCGATGTTATGAGGTGGTGAGGGGGTGAGACTTCTGTATATCGAAGCTGTGGTATAGTAGGCTCTATGGTTTGATATCTCCGTGGTGGATTGTTGCTCCAATGACATCCGTAACAGCACGCTGGCCTTCCGATGTAGGTGTTGGCTGGTGAAAAAAAGTAATTATTTACAAACAGAGTCGAGTATTCTGCCGAGTTTCGTCCATCAACTTACCATTCGTGCCATTCAAGAAATACGGCTTCGGTCCCTTCCCCACATAAACATATTCCAACTTTTGGATCGGCTAGAAAACACGAAGAACACCAAGAACACCAAGTGGGTCTTATCTGAAATCACCTCGACCCCTGAAACCGGGACTCTTGCGTGATGACGTGTGCCGTTTGCGTTTTTTTTCCCTCGGAACCAGAGCTAATGCGTTTTAGCTAGGTGATTGGAATCCACTTTTTCAGATCCCTGCATGCCCACAGATATCTTTGCAAATATATATTCAAAATATATGGTGCAGTCTTTCATCCAATCAGCTAAAAAGAAGCTGGTTCTAGGCCACGTAAGTAATCACTTGCCACAGTTCGATAGCGTTTCAAACGTCTGACAGTCATAACAGGTGGCCCAATGGCAAGGCGCTTGACTACGAGCTGCAAAAAGCAGTGGCGGAAATCAAGAGAGTATGTATCCCTCCTCATCACGGTATCAAAAAACGTGACTAACAGCTATCGATAGTTCCAGGTTCGACCCCTGGCGTGGTCATCTTTTTTTGCCTCCTGAGGCAAGAAGGAGTGGCTTTTAACTCCCAGGACTTGGAGACAAATCCATCTCACTGCTCTTTTCTCCTATGAGTGTTACTCTATTTTTGCCATTTATCCTATCGCTTCCAGGTGTGGCATCCTGGGATACACTGAGTGAGTAGCCGTCAATCCCTTAAAACGCTTTATGGAACCATGTAAGTCGGTCTTTCACGCAAGAGAAGTAACAACCTTTATGAGCAATACCCTTTTTAGTAACGATCCTAGAACGACATTTCCGATGCCATGTCGCCAACATGCCGCTTCTCTAAAGGCTCATGCCTGTTATATACTCTTTCCTCTAGTGGAAACTTCGTCGGAATCCTATTAGAACCAAAATTGGAAAGATTCGCCCAAGCTCCGTGTCTTGTTGTGTCCTTCGAAAAATACCGTGTCCCTACCGTGCTTTCAGTGCATCAGATCTAACTGTCACGAGGGTTAAATTCAGTATCTTAATTAGAAGAATCGTTTCAAGACGGTAACCACGACATCATATTCATTTTCCTGCCCTTGGAGAATAATTTGTACTGCTTCAACTTGGCTCTATCCTCCGCGTAACATCGATCCTAGTGCTTTAGTGCACTACTGCGCATCCTCAACTAGGCCGACATCTTATAAAGCATCAGAAGCCTTACACCTTACGCCCTCGAAATACCCACCAGCATATTCGTATTCAATCATAGGACGCCCAGAATGAAACAATATACCTAATCTTCACCGAATTCTTAATTTCCAAAAGAAAATATGGAAAACCAACCCCATCGTAGCAAGGGGAGAGAGAACAGAATACGATGGTTGAGAAGGTCCAATGCCGAGCCCTCTTAATGGATATAGTAACACACGGCCTAATATGAACACGATCGCATGGGATGGTACAATGTCCAAGCGGAGAGGAGTTCTACTGCACAAGGATCTGATTGAGAAGAACACACAGTTGTCAGTGCTTATCAGATATTACCCCTATTTTGACGACTGGAAACGACGATTTTCGGTCCAGATAACGTTTCATACAAAAAAGACTAACCGCTTTATCCTACGATAAAGGCCCCTCTATCTATGCCCATAATCCTAAAGGATTTCTTGTTCTCCTGTTAGCGGGGCTAGATCCTATCCGCGCCTGTAGAGCTATTCAATTCTAGACCTTTTAGCGTATCCCTACGGTGCTATGAAAGGGAACAGTGAATTTGCTAAGTGTCAAGTTACTCAGGCTCTGGGGCTTGCCTGGAGCTGCAAAGAAGGCGTTTCGTGAGCACGGCTGAAATTACACGAAGCACAGAAGGGGCTCACGTACCGAGTTCCCGGCCCTTGCATAATGCACTGAAATGTGGGTGTTAAGGAGCACTAGAGAGGTAGTTAAATTGGTGCCGCTCTGGCAGCGACCAGCACCAATGGCATGTCTGTGTACGTGTTTTTTCCTGGTTATTGAGTCGAGCTAGCTATTTGTAAAGAGAAAGTTCGCCGTTGAGTCAACGGCTGCTGGATGCCATTGACCATAGTTAATGGAAAATGGTTTAGCAGAGCCATATGAATGTGATCTGAGTATCTGACAAGCTCTCTTCGCGCTGTTCTTTTTCATCATTCTTATCATGATCGGATGGCGGCCTCGGCGCTTGCTTTGCTTAGTTATCAGACCGTACAACTTCTATAACATCAAGCTCGAAACACACGTTCTCTGAATTAACTCCCGTGGAGCGGATTTAGGTTAATTTAAAAAGCAGAGCCATTTGTGGTAATATTCAAGATTTTACTCTAACTAGAAACTAAGGCTTTAGCTAACATCAGAATAGTAGGGGCCACTACTATGCTAAAATGGTATTAATCAGCACTATCCTCTTTGGGCTGCCAACCTGTATTTTGAAGTTATGGTGCTAAAGGTTACGTATTAGTACGGAGGAGATGCTCTAATCTGACAATTACTAGAACCTGTCGAATTAATATGTCTCCCTGTGTGCTGTCAGGTCCTGCTAATCATTGATAGATGCCTGCATTCGTCAACAGTTGGGACGGAGGAGTGAAAACTAGATAATGCCGACATCAAGTGGTTGTTCAAATCCGGCATGAAGAACGTCGAATTTAGCGCGAAGCTCGAGTCGAAGAGACGGACGTTGTGACAGCGTGCCTGTTGGTTGAACCTAGCGCCGTTTGCGGCATCAGTTTGGTGCAATTCTAAAGCACCTTTGGCGCATATGAGTTGCTAGATGACATCCCAAAAACCCGAAAGATTGGTTAAGAAGATGGTCAGGAAGCAGTAACTTCTGACAATATCAAAAGCAACCGCAAGCGTTTTACTAATGATCTTTGGATTCATCATACTGGGACGCGATTTCATTGTCGTACTTAGTTGTCCTGCTGGCTGAAATACGTTAACGCCGACTATGTCAGCGCAACCTAGAAAGCCCCTGGTTCTCATAACGGTGTTCAGTTCTGCTGAAGCTGCCGTCCTTCAAACCAAGTAGCATTCGTATGATAAGTAATTTTCAAATTGGCTGTTGGATAAGCCATGGTGCCGGGGCGAGCCTTGTCAATTAGGTCAGATGCGCTCCTCATCTTCGTGAGCCCATGGGCGTTAAGACGAAGTCTTAGAGTTCGTTACTTTCAGAGTTCTTGGCAAATTCTGGCCTTGCTAGTACGAGAGATGGCCGGTTTTTGACTAAGAGAAAACGGTGTCCAGAGATGCCTGTCCGGTAGAGCGTAGAAGTCCAAAACTGATCAGTGTGTTTTGACCCCTTTGTGCGTCCTGGGCTGTGAATCAGAATCTCATGCACATCTTCGTATAGTGCAGACAAAAGTGGATGGCTTTGCTAGTTCGACATGTAGCATAGCACATGGGGAATAAGCCGGAAGTCTGGATGTCATGTGTGATTGAAGTGTGAAAGTTGGAGTATTATTTGGGCCAGGAATATTTGTAGGCCGTTACTGCCAGCGTCATTAGTGACGGCACTGGTGCACTAGGTGTAAGGAGGAAACCGGCGATCATGAAGGTGCACGATTAATCATTCTTATGACTTAGATTCATCCGCTGACTTGCTAGCGGTTAGTCAATCGAGTGTGCTGAAGAATTCTATTTTACCGCTAGCTTCGTTTTTAGCATTAATTCTCCTCACAAGTGAGCAACTTCTTCAAAGTCATCGGAGTCAGTTGGTCTCTCGGGATGCTAGTGCGGCGAACGTGGGAGTTGAAAACCATTCTCTTTCTGTTTCTATTCACGAATTACTATGCGTTCGGCACGGCCGTTATTCGTTCGGACAAAATTCTCCCTCGCCTCGATCCCCTTTCTGGTCCTTCAGAACGGGGCAGGGAGGAGCAGTCAGAGGAACTGATATTTGCGGCTCTGGTCATAAAACCTAGAGGCTTTATTGCTGCCCATATCATTATTGGACAGTCCTTGAAATTTTTAGAAGTTCGATGGCGAGGGTATATGTCTAGTCATATACGAGTCCATCGTTTCAAATGCCTCCGCTATATGTTGGTTGTGGCGTATGACCGTCCGTTTGAGATTAGGAAAATTCTGTCTAGCTGGGTCTCGGCCAGCCGCGCGTATGTTCAACATGAACCGGTGTTCTGAAATGTTGAATTTGATGGTGGGTGGAAACTCGGTCTGAGCGGCGCTTGAAAATATAGAATTCATTTTTACGGAACGAAATATCATTAAAAAGAAGTAGCTTCGTTCAATTCAGTTCTTACGAAACTCAGGTGACTCAGGATAATAAAGGGGATATATCTTCAGCAAAGGCTATCCATACGTAAATGTTGGAGGTCCAAGATCACGTGTTGCCAAAACCTTGGCTTGAATTGGGGAACCATGAGACTCGAAGGAAAGCTCAAACTGAGAACGGAGCAATGGAAAAATATTAGAATTTCAAGCCGGCACTTCTCTGGGGTTACAGGCATTGTTACCAGGTCCTGGTCACGAATTTTCCGAGATTAATTTTACCCCACAGTACTTCTGTCACGAGTGACACGATAGTGGCACGAATTCATCAAAATTCAAAGTGGGAAAAAGACTCAGTTCCCCCGCGGTTCAGCGGGACGACGGACGATGTCACGGCTTTGAACCCTTGTAACTATGGGGAAACACAATAATGTATAGGTATTGCGGGGAAGATCGGTTGGCGAAATGACAGCAATATAGATGATTCCAGAACATTTCCCTTTATTTCTGCTTTGCATGGAATTGTCAAAGCGAAGAATATAATGCGGATAATGTGAGAATAACGTCAGGCCTGAGCCGGCTTCGTTCGTTTCCTGTCACGGCGCCGGTCTTACAAAACACGGTGTGCCACCAGCTGAGTAACGAGCTGAGTGCGCTGAGGGCCGTCGGCTGTGTACGGTACATCACCTCATCCTCGCCTTGTCCGGCTTGTTGATCGAGCCTTTGCTCGCTGCCTGCCGCTCAGGTTTGACTCGGGGCCTCAAGTGTGGCCTAGATCGGTGTGCTTGGTGTGCTTGGTTGTGTGCCCCTGGTGCCTTAGTATGATTGAAACCCGCAGGAGGGCTGCCTGCTTCGTTAAGTTGGATTGGTGGGGTGTTGGTGTTGGCGTTCAGGGGGCGAAGGCTGCAGAAGCAAGGAGAAGTTTGTCAGATTGCAGCTAGAAGCGGGCGCATCGGACGAGTCCTGAAACCGAAATGCTTTTTCAATACACAGTAATCGACGGCCGGGCCTGCGGTCCCTCTGCGCTATTGCTCAACTCGCAGCCAAAGGCTGGCGTCGGGCGGTGGTGAAACCAAGCGGCAGGGCACATGTCGAAGAAGGCTGAATTGGGGTTGGACCGGGCGGACTGGAGCTCAGAGCGAGGATCGAGGATCGAGGATCGAGGAGCTAGGAGCTAGGAGCAGGAGCAGCGAGGGAGCTTAGAAGCGATGGTGCCACCCAGGGCGCGAGGGCATGGAAGAGCATGGGAGGTATGGGAGGGTATGGGAGGGTATGGGAGGGCATGGGGGTGCCACTCTGCCACTCAGCGGCCG